ATGTTCAGCAGGAAATTTATAGGAAATATTCAGACGGTTTGAGTTTTGGTAGAAGACCAAGAAAAAGAAAGTGGACTGAACAACAATCGGGTCACAAGTTATAAGTAATCAAAAAATGAAGAATAAACGTAAGGTGGTCACTAATTCCTCAACGGTGCACGCCCTTACCACTGAGCTATATGATATTCGGCATGGGTCTCACGAAGAACATTATGAATATAAACTAATAGTTTAAATAATTTAATTCGAACAACACATTATTGCGTTAAAATGTTTAGAATGCAGCCGGAAGTTCACGCTTGTCATTCATTCTTATGTTGTCGCTGCCAACTCCTAAGTTGCTACATTGTACTTATCAGGTTGTTCTGTTCACGCATTTGGACAGTATAATCGTTTTCGGATTACGTCATTGCAAATCAACAACAGTTTATTCAAATGCTGCATGCTACTATCGAAAGTTTATGAGGTTAATAATCCTCCGACATTACTGGTAAGAAAAGCAGATAATTCACCACTGTCCAAACCCTCACTTATGCGTCACACAAATATGGCTGGCTGACAAGCAATGTATTACACGGTAATTCTGACTACTGCTCTTCAACGGCATTTAGTCGGACAGTTTGGGTAAAAACTTCGGCTTGATAGGAATAACTACCATCAAATCTGTTGCGGAAATCATGCAACGAGTATGACAAAATTCTCTTTGAAGATATTCACTGGTTACCTTTGCAGAAAGTCAATAATGAGGGTGGCGATCACACAGCGGGTGCTCTGTGGGGTCTGTTTCGCCCAACCTTTCGACTATCCGCACCATATTAGATATGCACGTGCACTGTGTGCACATTTACTCTAGCGTTTGACGTCATATAATTCGTCCTTCTTGAAGGTCACTGTCCTAAGTGGTACTGACAGGTCATTTCTAGAAGATACTGATTTGGAAGATTGGATTTTACATGTGGCCGTGGTGATCAATGATGTGTGGTGTGATCTGACCATAAAGTGTATTTGCAGTTTCACAGATTCCGAAACACATAATGATATCAAGTGAAGCCTCTGGAGTACTGCTTCACAGATAATTTTAGGAACCCCAAATATGGTCATTAAATAATGTCCACTGAGCAGCTCTCTCGCCCAGCAAGAACCACTTCAGTGGCCAACCTTTCCTGTCATGCCGTCTGTTTCCGCACTCTTGATAATATATTCGTTTTGCTCAGATTCAACAGCCGAAGATGAAAATATTCGGCGATTCCGTACGCACTCTTGAGAATGTACCCATCTTTTGTCTTTATAAATAGTCAATAATTCATAGGGCGAGCAATGGAGTAAATGGACGAACTGATTATGGGTAAAAAATGCGTATTTTATCTAATATTTCCAACACTGATTCTTCTCACTGTCCTCCTTCAAACTAATAGCAAGGACCCGTGTTACTGATTTACAGATTTGTTCTGATTATATAGTTGTCCACTGACTCAGATTATAGACGACGGGCAGGGATATTCCTTGAGCAAATCTGCCTGCAGTAGATGTGTTTGGTTGATCGCGATGGGCAAATTGGGGTCGACTGCTCCAAGTATCGAGATTTAACACTTGAAGCTGATAGTTTCAGAGTTCATTGTATCCAGTTCAAGTTCATTTTCGTCACGTGAGGATAAGTCCCAAATACCATCAGACGATGAATATCTAGCATTATTGGTAAAACCTAACAAATTATCCGGATGCAGTGGAGAATGGCTGATTCTTTGTAGAATACGCCTTCTGAGGTTAGATACGAAATTTTATATGCGGAGGCATTGGCATCAACTAAGGCGTCGAATAGCTACGGTAAGAAGTCGAGCGCGTAAAATTTGGTCTCAATATTGAAAGTGTGCCCAACCTTCTAATAGCTTTGGCAATTCGTCATGGGTATTTCGTGATCTTCAAAGAGAAAAAGGAATAGTCAAGAAAACAAAATGGTTGGAAATATTGTATCTAGTTGAGACAATCCGCAATAAACCACTGGGCTTAAATTTCTGGAATATCCCGACTTTTACTTCAACATGATGGCATCATGCGCTTGGAATATGCTAGCTTTGTAGGTTTCCATTTTATTTACAGTTAGGATGGTTTGGTTGTGGAATGTACTCTAGATGTTGAATGCCTGAAAATCTGAGCTACTGGGTTGAGATCTCCGGGGTATTTCAAAATCAACCTGCTTTAGGCCCGCGAGCTTTCTGGGTGCCTGGTTAGGAACCACCGAGTAACTGATACACAAGCCGCCTGCTGAGTTTATGCAGTGCTAAATTATCGATCAATCTGGAAATGGTTCTATACCAATGGTTATAATAAACGGGATAGGAACAGAATTAATGCCACGTCGTATGATGTATTGGGTTCACTTACGACAGAATGCGGAGAATGGTAGATGCCAGGATCACTATGCTATTGAATGACAGTAAACCATGTCCCTTTATATCCAAATCCCAGAAATAATGTTTTGTGTACTGTACAAATAACACAGTTTGGCTTATACATGGCTACTTGCAAATACCCTGTGTTCAGGGCGAATTGAAAAAGAGAATTAGAGCACAAGTCCCCGGGATTAGATTACTACTACTACTAAATATTCGTGAGTAGGACTTGCAGCTAGGTAAACTTTACTGAAATGAGTTTCAGACAGGGTTTTTAAATTGGAAGACAAACTGAGAGCTGGCGGCTTTACTCCCTGAAACATTCTCATTACCTCCATTTAAAAATACAATAGAACCTGTACTGTCAGTTACATTATATGGAGTGAAGAATTTTCGGAATTCTCAGTACCACTAAGTCACTGAGCCCAACGAACCGAACAGGTCACATCAGCGAGTAAAGTAACAGGGAAAACACGCATCTGAGAAGTGAGAGTGCTTTTTGTATACTCTGGAAAACAACTCTGTGTAAGCGAAAATAAGAACACTCACCTTGACCTTTAGTCATCACGGGCTCAACATCCAAGACTGCACCAAGTCCCTGGGATCCAACCGCTCCCAGGCGTAGCTTATACACCGTTCGAGAAAGCAACCCAACAATAACATGTTCATAAACATGTTGAGGGGAGTCATTCTCATTGACCGGTATCTTTGCCTCGTGCCATTCGGTGAAGGGAAACGGTGCCCACTGAAGAAGGAAGTGTTTTACTCTTGACTGTCTGTACACTAGTTCCTGGGATGCAGTGGAATAGAGGCTATCCAGATCTGTCCGGATACGAGGTGCAAGCCAACGGATGCGTATTCGTGATGAATCTAACACGTCCAATTCGTGAAGCACGGGTATATCGGGAACTAGAAGTGAGTAAAATGAATTACGGTAAACAAAAAGCAAACTAAACTTCTGCAGCATGTTGATTTCGTACGCCAATGTAACCACAATGTTAAGATTTTCAGTAAGTAAGTAAGAAGTAATCTCTCATCCGAAGTACACAGTTCATATTGGTCCTTAACAGTTTCCAGCAAATTTTGGAGTGGTATTTGTAGCAAACCTACAGCTGTAAGATCAAGTGATGCTGCTGGCTTTCGAAATATCTAACGAAAATTCAAATTGCCCTATCCTTTTGTAAGCAGGAAACCTGCTTATGGTTCTTCAGCTGTGTTCCTTTTGAGCATGCAGACCGAAGTTCGGTGGCTCAAATCACCACAGTCGTATTAAGTGTAAAATCGTGAAAAAAGTTTATGGGAACCGTCTTATCCCAAGTGTCAAGGCCGAACCTATTATATCACAACTAAAATGAGTAACAAACTTGAGCGATTGAATGGGTGTTCGAAGCGCGCAGCCAATCTCCTGTTACATGTAGTGCATAAGCACGACCCTTAGTTATAAAGATTTTTGTGCATAATAAAATTTAAAGAAAGAACGTTGCTCTACGTTTGATGTGGTTTGACAGGAAGAGTACTTTTTAAACAGCCGTGTGCTCGTTTTTCAAAGCGCTACGAACTAGTTCCACTTGCTCACCCCTACTACGTACTGCCATTTAGATCCATGTTACCTTTTCATTTTTCAATCCTGTGCTCAATCACAAGGACTATTGCATATGAGAATCTTTTAGGAGACATATTAATTGATCTCTGCTCAATGCTTGAGTAGGTCGCCATATGATAAATGTGTAGCTACAGTGCCGCGTTTAAGTAACGTAAATAATCTAATGGTAATATATGGCCGGTGGTTAGATAGAAGACATATACCTTTGTGTGGCGAACTTCTTCGGCATTATGTCCACAAAAGAATTATCCCACAATTGGCAACCACTCTTAATAGCCTGCTCGATAAATGTACTCCCTGGGTGAACAAATAACATACAAACAACCGCGGTAGAGAACATACGGAACGATAAATGAATATTTCTGACGATTACTGATAAGGACGAAACTGCTGTATAGTGCTCCTTTAATTACCAGCTCAGATCAACTCAGCGCAGATTGTCTGGAAGAGTTTTGTCATGAAATACAGTTTTTGAGGCATTTTACGAAGCCGTTTTAGAACCAGTCTTTGTTGAGGGTAACTCCTCGTACGTCCTTAGCTTTTTGAATTTCTTTACTGTTTGATGGTGGTTAACACTGTAGGGAAGTTAAAACTTCAAATACTCAGCTTTCAGAACTCTTGGATAGAAGTACTACACTACTCAAGATGTTGCTAAAAACTATTTGACACACTGCGACCTTAGTCGTCCTTCATGAGACTCATCAGGTAGGCGCAGTCTCCGGAGTTCCGTCAACCTTATCTTGTACTTGAACCCCAACTAGACACGTTTCGACAACTATACTAATTCGCATATCAATTTGGTTTTGATGGGTGACTCACTTGGAACCCAGCTGAATCCGTCGTTAATGAATTGAATGTGCTGCATCAAGCCGCCTCATGTTTTAGTTGTTATGACATTCGGGATATCAGGATACATTATAGACGTAATAGGCTACTCGTAGGGTAGCTGAAAATTCTTCGACGACCGGCTGCGACCGTCTTGGGGCTCATCAGATAAGCGCATTCCACGAGATTACGTCAAACTTCTGTTCTATTTGAGACCAAATCTCACTAAATGTTTCGAGTGATATCTCAAATATCATAGCAACAGAAAAGTGAGGCGGCCTGGTGCAGTATATTCAGTTGCCCGGAAACATTACAAACGAGAGAGTCAGCTGGGTTCTAGGTGAGTCTCCGGCAAAACCAGATTTTTCGCTAGAATGCGTTGTACTTTAGGCAAGCAGTATCATGTGGTTTCACTTACTTTGCCTGATTTTATTTTAGTTTCATTTTGACGTGAAATACGGTTGAAGAATAAGGCAACAGGAAGGAATCTCGTTCAGTTTCAGTATTTCTGAACTAACAGTTTAACAATCAACACTGTCGTCTGATTTGGGAGAAACAGCAATGACTGAAGTGTTAGCGCTACGAGTGTGATTTGTTCTTCTTCGAAACCTCCAGTTAGGCGCTCACCGTCTTGCAAGAAAATGAGTAAAACGCTGCGAATCATAATGAACACCGTTCAGCTAGGAAGTTGGAGTAACATTATTGTGTAAAAAGGATTAAGCCTGGACATTTACAGTTACATTTTATATATGAGTCGAGTTTTTCTGAGCAACATACTCAACAGGTTTCAAAATGCGCGTGCAATTGGGTATAGCANTGACGTTTGCCATCAACGTTTTTCCCTACAAAATCGAGCTGGACTGTCATAGTCATTGTCGTTTCGAGGTTATAGACCAGTTAACTGATTTTCTGCAGTCCTTATTAGCCACCACATTCACAGAGTAATATCACACTGGTCAGTCACAATTGCACCTACCGGATATGTAATGAGGTAGTTCACAGATAATCCGGATCCTTCTTGGTCTTTAGACCAAGAATCAAACGCAAGGTTGTACGCACATCTCTTATATTGACGCAAATAAAGCAACCAAACAACTGCATTATTCATAATTGCTTACAGGAGGTATTTACATCAAGATGAAGTGCTTGGAATCTGTTCTGCGAAATGACTTGTCACAGGGCTTCCAGAACTAAGTGAGTAAACTTTATGCCTTGTGTTATAGAGTAGAGTCACGTTGACTGCTGTTACCAAGTACCTCAGTCATGCACACAAGCTATCTGTAGATTGTCTGACAGATGATGTGGTTCCCAACCTGGAGGTTGGGGGTCGTCGGGCATTTGGTAGGATTTCCGTAGCTGCTGCCATGTAAGATTATTTTCGTACGGCTCACTGCAACGACATTTGTACGGACGCAACAGGTGGTAAAGTTGACTGTTATTGAGTCTTTGACAGATGACACTGCCCAATGCGTATAACAACATGAGTGTTCCAACTTACTTTAATGAAGTTCACGATTTTATGCTCAAACTTCTGAAGTGAATAAATTGTGAATCAATCTCAGCACATTTAGTTCATTAAGTAGTATGCCGGTATTTCATTTCAGTCGCATGCAACTGAGATTACTACGCTAGTCTAGACAGAGTAATGCTGCTGATGACTTCTATACGTTCACATACAATTGGAACGCGCGCACATGACGCAATGCAATAATAATAAATATCAAAAATAACACATTTTTGTAGATATTTGGTGTCAGGTTAAAACAGGCTTAAGCTAGATGTGCAAGGCTTCACATGGGCGGACTGGGGAGGGATGTAATTTAACAATTCTGTGTTAACCTATGAGCATTTTCGTGGCAAACAGTGACGTAATGAAGTATTTTTTAAACCTAAGCAGATGTGGAGGACTTTTTCAGGGGAAAAGCGCATTGACATACGTGGACAGTCCCGCTCCACAGATAAATTTGAAAAAAAGCCAAATTAAGCATTTCTATCGTAGCTACGCGATTACTCGTGTGATGTTTAAACATATCATATAGATATACTACTGATAAGCGGATGGCATACCAACAGAAGCTCCTCAAGGGATGGTTCATCAGCAGTTATTATCGGTGTCTGTGTGCATCTAAATTTTGCGGTGCAGACTGAATAACATAAACTCATATCGTTTCTCATTGTCTGCCTGATTAGACGGATAGATGGATCAACATTACAGTCATTGTGGACCGGATACTATAATCATCTCATAACGTCCGTGCTCATTGAACACAAACCCACACCATGATTGACTTCGTTGAATATATTGTATGAAAACGCGGCAGGTATGCATCCTGAAAGTCACAGAACCTAAGAAAATTATCCGACCTTTTTCTTGGGTAGGTTACTGAAACGCGGATGTCCTCATGATCTTGCCTTCACTGAGCAGAGTGAAGCAATCCACCTACATGTTATTCTAGGGTGATAGCTTTCGACTAATAAGGCATTGTTTTAATTCTGAACCAGAACAAGCATGCGATGCCACCCACGTTGTAGAGACAAAGCGAGTGCCTACACCACGGGAGAATGATTCAGTGCTTCTGTGTGCCAGTTAAAACTTATTTATTAGTATAATTGGGTTTGCGATTCTTGACACATGAGCGGAATGATGAGAAATCTAGGAAACTACGGGCGAACACATTCCAAACCATCTATTTAGATGTGATTTTTTTTTTCCATGAGGCACAATTTCTAAACACTTGTTAAACTTGTTTTTAACGATAAGCGAAGGATTACACTCACACAGGGTGTCGCCATCAGAATGTTCAACCCCATTTTATGTGCATTGGAACATACGATTATGCAATAATCGTATGTTCTTTTAAGCACAATATTTACGATGAAACACACATGACTTGATGCCGTGACTCATATCACTCCGACTACCACACACAATTAATGACAGATCGATATAACACTACTACGCTTTAGCTTTTGGCCTCTGAATCCACCTGACATGACCCGTTTTACCTTAATTATTCGGTTTTTCATACCTTAACTCCTGTGCCTAAAATAACTGAAGTCCTAGATGCGTTCTGATCTTTTCGTAGATGAAAAAGGTGGGGACAATCAGGTAATATAAATCAAAGATTTATTCGTCTGATTGGGAACAGCCAGCCCATAAGTTCAAGAAAGGATTGCAAGCTAGAACCCTTTGCGTTTACATTTTTCCAGAAATAACCATTAAAATACGCCTTAAAAGGGTTTGGTACGAAAGCTGCAAGGGGTTCATTAAGTCTTAGCAAAAGTTTTTCCGTTATTTTCATCTACTTTCCTGCGTAGGCAGAAAACTTTGTGCACCACCAATATTGCTGGCAGCAGTCAGCCAACATCACTTTTTTTTGCTTTGCAGAGGAGTGATCACGTGGACGGTGGAAGTACCAGTAACGAAAGTCATAGAAACGCCATCGGTGTCCGGACTGATTTCATTAGGTACAACGTGA